CCGATTCAAAACTTGGATTAAAGAGACTCTAGCAGGCCGTTTTCAGAGGAAGGCACGCTGTGTGAATGGGAGCCTTATCCACAGGTTTGAGCCATGAACTCGCTCACACGCAGGTTTTACTGCACGTCTCCTTGCCCTTGGAGCAGCAGACAAAGCGCAGCCAAGAGAAAGTCAATTCCCGACCCCACGCGAAGGCACATTTGTGCAAGGATGAGAACGGGATCACTGGGAAAGTCACGTGGTTAAAGACTCACTGATGGCTCGTGGAAGACTCCAGGCTTTGCTTCCACATCATTTTCTGTATTTTGCTCCTTCCATTTTATTACCAGAGACAGTTGCATGAGAACAGGATCTTTGTAGCTTAGGAGAGCATCTGCTCCCGCCGCTTATCCTCCTCCTGAAGTCATAATCTTACGTGACATCAAAATCGTTTCCAGAGCCACCAATTACAGTGTCACAGAGCATTACGACTTCAGGTGTAGAATTTGCAGTGGGAACAGATGCTCTCTTCTGGAAAAAAAAATTTAAAAAAATCCTGTTTTCATACAAACGTCTCTATTAATAAAATACAAAAGAAGAAAAATAGAATGACAGCCAGAAGTGTTGCTAAATATAAAAATAGATTTTAACATTTCCAAAAGGCATCAGCTGCTCTTTGGAAAGTTCCCAAGGTTTAAATTATTAAAAGGTAGAGAATGTAGTGGGAATACATCCGTGACAGAGGAAAAAGAGAGGAAAAAACACTGCAGAACAGCATATTTCTACTCAGCAGATATTAAAATTTTGGCCGGTGCTGCACTGGCATCTCAGAGGAGAGGGGGCAAAACACACAAAAAAACCAACGTGGATTTTTGGTTCTTTGCTCAAAGAATCCTTGTCACATCACAAGGAATTTACTTCGATGTTTCCAACAATCCCTACCCCAGAAGGACACAGACCCTTTCGGAGGCAGCAGCGGTCTCGGGTGCAGTTCAGGAGGTACCTAATGTAGTCACGGGCTCTGCTGGATTCGATCCGCGGAAACAAGCCAAGTGTAATAAGTCAGTTTGAAGCCGGAGAAAGGCTGGGGGGGGAGGAGCACCCTTTAGGATGCACTAATAACGCCGTGTGATTTGAAATTTTTATTAGAGCTTAACAAGGCAAAGCACCAGTAGGTGACAAAGGAAACAGACTGGAGGCGGAGAAAAAGCCGTAGAGAAAGGAAAATCATAATGGGAAGTCTGTTGCATGGGAAATATTTTGTAAGACGCCTGCCGCCATTAGAAGGTTTCAAAACGCCGAGCGTAATTAAAAAGCTCTTTTCAAATGCAGTTCACGGCTCTCACACAAACGTTTCCCACCACGTGAGCCTCAGAACACTGCAAGGGGCCAAGCAAAACGCATTTTAAGAACTGCCAAACGTGCAAAGGCAGTTCCTACGAATTCTCCCCCACGCACACACCTCCCCCCTCAGAGAAAAACCCTTCACAACAACCATTTAAAGGCTTTGAATTGCGCTGCCAGGGGATTATCAGTAAGTGACATTTACAAGTGATTAGAGGACAGAAAATTATCTTAGTCACTTGTGGGAAAAGAGGAAAGCTTCAAGGTCAAATCTCTCAGTACTTAAAATGTCGGCAGATGTTTTGTTTACACGGAAAGCGTCATTTGATTTATGATGGAGTTTTACATCCAGAACTTCAGCCCCGCCAGCGGAACGGCAGAGAACATCGGTGGGAATGGAATCAAAAATTCATATAATACCTTCAAATATTTCACTGATTCACTCATTAAAGTAAGAGGCCAGCTCCTGTGCCAAGTGGTTACACAGTACCTATTAGCTTCTTAGAACAAGCGCTTCAAGCCATATAAACCTTGGCAAGCGAGGAAACGCAGATAAATCTTCAACAGCTCCAGAAATCCCACATCAACCCCTTTCCGCACTCACCTCCGGACAATAGATTGCTGGAGATTTTTGCAAACGGTAAGAGACTCTCCCATAAACATGTGGCACATGATGACCTCAAGGCAGTTGGCCATGAATGACATCACTGCGTCAGACTGCAGAGTCCCGCTCCGGGAGACGATGCAAAGCCGCTGGAGAGAGGAGCAATGACTCAGGGCCTGGAAGAACTGGGCGCCCGCACAGAAGTACGGCTGTTCCAGCCTGTGAGAATACACAAAAAAACCAAGTCAACAGGCAATTCGTGGTGCTGGGCTGTTTTTCAGACAAGAGGGAAGGCAGCACGCTCACGGAGGGGCTGGCAAAGGGAGCAACCAGCATTCCCACCGCCTGTTTCGCTCCCACGTGCGATCACCTTCCGTGACACCAACAGGGACAAACCCCACACCGCAGGCTCAGACTTCGTGCTTGCTAGTTACTTTTGAATGGTGTGTGCTAAAGGACGAGGACACAAATCGGCAGAAAGGCCCCTAAACTGCAGAATTCCAGCACCCACAGGGAGTAACGCTGATTTTACAAGTTTTCCACAAAGTGTGTTGGGTAAGCTGGGTCTTATCCTGGTGTTACGACAAGCACAGCCTTGGCTTTCGCTACCCGACATCCTCCGAGCAGTTGATGTGGATTTAAGGACTTAACTGCTCCAGTGCCCTAAAAACCGATCAAACTGGTCAATCTTCAGTTTACTGCCTGGAGAGAAGCAGGCATGAAAAAAAATTCACAATGCACACGTGGCGATGCAGAACTCAGGCCCCTGAGCCAAGAGTAACCACAACCAGCCAAAGGGTCAAACCTGCTGCTCTCCCAGAGGAAGAACAACCAGCACAGCTCCAACTTTTATCTTAAACACTTGGCCCAGAGAGAAGAGATGGGATCCTCTATGACGGCTACCCCCAATCTTACATCACAGCCCAGAGCAGGATGGTGAAACGACACGGTGAGGCCATACCCGACCGACGAGCGGTCTTCGTTTCAACTAACGGGACGACTCCCTTGCAGAGACCAGCCTGAGGGAAGCAGAATCTGCTCGGGGCCGGTGTAGATTTACTTTACTTAGTGCAAAATTACCCCCACAGGACCTCAGAGTACTCGGGAATCCCAGTCATTGGGTCAGCACGGCCACAAGCTCCAAGAAGGTTAATCCCTTAGGTGACAACGAGGTGTCTGTCCCAACCTGATCTGGATAATCTGCGCATACGGGCTTTTGCAGTACGCGGGAGGTATCTCAGCAACTTAATCCTGTTAACTGATGAATTCTGGTTTAGTCTCAGCCTGTCACTGCTGGTCAGGTAGCACCGCCTGAAGAGATCCTAACGGCACTTTGGGTAATAGTTTAAAATTAATAGTAAGGAAACAGGGAAGCTCTTCGATTTTTCAACTGCATTAGTGGTCCGCTGCGAGTTTAGGCACCGAATCTGTGGCAGCTTCACAGCAGGTTTCTAGGTCAATCGCTGTGATACGACAGCCATACTTGCAATGCCACTTTCCACTCGCTAGATGACAATGTTGCTTTGGAATAGACCCTTAAAACTAGTTTCTCAGCCTGGAAAATGTGGAGGGAGGAAAAAAGGGTAAAAGCAGCAGAGCTTTAGCCAAATGAAAAGGAAACTACATTATTAGCAGGAAGTGCTAAACATTAATATCCTCTTAAACCTATATAAAACCTTAGACTTTGCTCAGGAAAGAACAGCGACAGCTTACATCGAGCTGCCTGGCTGTTACAAGGAGACTCCCTTGTTTGTCCTTTATTCAAGGCTCTGCGGTGCCTCCCATCTTCAGCTGCCTCCCATCTGCAGCGCTCTTGGCCTCCATTTCAAAGTCTCGGCAAACTACACGGCCCAGACTTGAGCGAAGCAACGCTGCACACCCAAACCTCCTGCCCCAGATCTTAGCTCCTCCGTGGCTGCTTAGTCTCCTGAATTTTAGAGACACTTTCAGGTGACCCAAGCCATTAAGGAACTGAATTTCCAACAGGTGCCATCCCGTGGATGAGAGACCAACATGCTGCTTGCCTGTTCGTGATGGGAAGGGGTGGAAAAATAAACCCCTCCCGAGGTGTTTCAGCCACTCTGGCTCCCTTCACTATTGCAATGGTTTGCGAACACGCGCACAAACACCCATCGGAGCTGATGAGCGATAATTTTAGTTACACTGTCTTGGCAATCACAGGAGTGACCTTGCTGTTACTATTGTTTGATATTTTAGACCCGTTTTGTCAACAGAGGGTGGCAACGGGCCTGACAGGTCTAGCAGCTTCACCAGTGGAAGCTGATCTAGAGAAAACATAAGAAAGAAAACAAAAATTTAAAAAGCACATTTTTCTCAAGTAATAACATTTGTGTTGACAGGGATCAGTGCAAGGACACAGTCGCAGTTTGTGCCCTTTGATTTCATAAGCACATTTTGACTACCATGAAGGAGCTTTATGCATCTTTTCGGATCAGTTCCAAGAAAGGAACTTCAATAGGACAAACTCTAAATTTGGAAATCTTTCAATATACCATCAAGAAAAGAAAAAGAAAGAAAGGAGAAAAGAAAAAAAAAGAAAGGAGAAAGGAAAAAGAAAGAAAGGAGAAAGGAAAAAGAAAGAAAGGAGAAAGGAAAAAGAGGTATACTTGAATAAAAAACAAAGCCAGAAAAATATTTCATTGGGAAACCTAAGGGGAACTCTACATTATCTAGCTATTATAGGAGTCTCTTCCTTTCTGGAAATTTCAGAGATATGTGTGTACATAAAGCCAAAAAGCCAGCAAAGGCATGGAATATTTAACCTAGCCCTAACAGGCTGCTGGCTCCTGAATATGCAGCATCTACTCTTCCTTATCTAAAAGGAAGGTACTTGCAGCACAGACTTTTTTGCTCTTAAAAATCTGATTCAAAGGCGTATCATGAGCCTTCAAAGACAGCACATGATGCCTTCCTGTTCTCCGCAAGTCAGGAAGGAAAATACCCAATTTTCAAGCCATTGCAGCTACTTTGGACCAAAACTTGCAGTTTTAACACAACAAACCACGCGTTACATTTCTGGAGATCCACAAACAGAATGGGGATGATCTCACCTGAGATCTCTGAGACACTTGCAGTGTTTCAGCATGTCCATGAGCGCAGACATATAGATCATTTTCCCCATCATGCCCAGGTTGGCCAACGAAAGAGTCCGCAAGTGCTGGCACTGCAACCCAATGCTAACAAGCCCAGAGCCAGTCAGGATATTTGGCAGCTGAGCTAAGGTGAGGCTCTGCAAGTAAGTCAATTGGCTAATGGCAGCCACCTCCGAATCGCCCACGCTTTGCGCCCGCACGCAAGGAGGCAACGAGTTCCGAATCGCCGGCTCATTGCGGGGCATGGCAGAGGAAAAACTGGATCCGATTATTTCCAAGGTTTCCAAAAATCGGAGGCTTCCCATCAGAGCCCAGAACACTGAAGACTCTAGCTTCTGATTTGCCTGGTCCACTAAGTTCCTTGGATACGTCTGCATCCCGATCCGAACTTTCCTTCCAAACGTTTGGGGAACCAAACTTGACGCCGTGGGAGGCTTCGGCTTTTCCACGTTTGCGGCAACATCCGTGATGGAGCAAACCGGCAGCGCTAAGGAGAGCAGGTGCTTTAGCCTTGCCAGAAGCTGGCACAAGTGATTCCCTATGCTTTCCGAGCTGTGGTGGTGAGCTGCAGAGAGGTTGAGGTGTCTCAGGTTGCAGCAAGACACTACCAGGCTTTCCAGAATGCCACTGTCAATGTCATCTTCCGCTTTTCGAAATAAGGACTCTGGCGCCAGACAGTGAACGCAGCCACTGAGATTCAAGCTGGTCAAGCTTTTAAGGTCCTTCCCACCGTTAATAACCCTCTGGATCAGGTGGCCACCAGATAAGGTGCATCGGCTAAAGCTGAAGTAGAAAGGGTTGTTGAACTTCAAGTGTTGCAGGAGTCCAGAGCCGTTAATCCAGGCTTTGGGCAATTGTAAAGCATCCAGACGTACGTTTCGAGCCATAGAGTCCAGGAGGTTTTTAGTGGCTCCTGTCTCCGCAAAGCTACCGGGGGCAGAAATAAGGAAAGCGTGAAGGTTCTCGGGTGTCCGATCGCTCAGCACCGCCAAGTACAGCCTCACTACCTCCTGATTAACATAGCCAGGAGCCAGCCTGGCGTAGAAGACGCGGAGGTTCTGGTAATGGGGCACGTTGCTCTCGCCTACCATTAGCTGCCCAGAGAGCATAAAACCTTCTCGCGAGCGATCGAGGATCTCAAAATAAAGCAGCAATTTCTCCAGGCTAGTGCAGCACGGAACGACACCATACGACGGCGTGTAAAGGGTTTGCTTCAACTCCGAGACGCGGCTAAGAGTGGCTTTACACTCGCTGCTCAGCTGGCTGGCGTCGAAACCTGGATTTACGTCTATGGCCAGGGAGCGGAGGTGCTGGAGCGTGGACAGCATCTTCGAGAGACGGAGAGAGGTGATGTGGCAGCCAGACAAGTTCAGTTTTACCAGGTTCTTGCATCGTGTTACGTGATCAATAGTGGAGCTGGGCAGCCAGTAGCACCCAGCCAAGTTCAGCTGGTAAATCTCTTTTCCAATATCCCTCATCAGCTGCTTCACTTTGTCTTTGTTGACCTGTACTCAAACAAAACCACATTCGGTGAGACATACGGCAAGGCTGCGCGCTAACTCAGTTTCCCATCTGAAGACGGGGATAAGAGAGGTTGGCACTTAGATTACGCGGCTCATCCAAAGGTTTCAGGACGCTACCACAGTCTGAGGATTATTATACCGCCGGTAGCTGACTTTAATCTGCCACACTTTGGAGTTTTTAGGATTACACTTTTTAGAGGCTTAGTCTGTGCAGTTCTGTGTTACTGACCGCGAGGCCTAATCCATTCAGCAACTGACAGGGGAATGGAAGGCCACCTCCTTTTTCTAAAAGCAAAGCTGTTTCAGCAGAACTGGCTATCTACAGAATAAATACAGAAACTCCAACTGAAAGAAGGATGTTTCCATTCTACTTCACCCAATTTTCTGTTTTGGAAATGAGTAAGAGGTTTCCCCTTGCTTGCACTTGGTGATACAGTCCTCACAAACGAAACGTATCACCCTCCATTCCCAAGTTTTGGAGGTTTTTTTGTTGTAACACATTCAAAATTTCTGGCTTAGCCGACTGCATGCCTGGCAGCAATATGCACGAGATTTTTTTTGTGCAACAACACAGAAAACATATTCTGAGAAAAACATAATTTTACACAACCACAGCTACAAATGGAAAGTCACATTTACTTTCATTTTAGCTTCCAGAACCACAGAGAAGATAGTTTTCACTAATGGCATTTTATATAACTAAGGGAGCACAGAGCTGTTCTAACAAAGCATTCTAGAAAACAAATGCTTTTATAAAGCAGTTTATTGTTTACTTGATTTCCGAGCTCATTTCATTTATGCAGACACACTGGAAGCTTCTACTTCTTGGCATTTTTTCACAAGTCAGATTTGTCTTCACAGCTAACGGAAGAAGCAAGCTACTCTCCCCACCTTATAGTCTTTCTGAAGTAAAACTGTGTGGGTTAGGCTCTTGTCAAGGCAAAGCGTTGCAAGTTTCCTGCAGGTTCTCCTGACGTTCAGGACAAGGTCTGTGCAAGGGACGTAGCTGAGAATGTGCAAAAGGATCTCATCCGAAAACTCCATCAAGTTGACACCGTTACTTTCCTCCTCACTCTCTCCACTTACAATCTCCTGGGGGGCAGAATTAAAACAAAAAAAAAAAAAAAAGAGAGAGAAAAAAAGCTACTAGCTCAGAAAACGTAGCAAAGATTGTGAAAGAACAGGTACCACGGATCTCATAAGGATTTATAGAGTGAGACAAAACAGAAACGCTCAAATCTTTAAGTGCTTCCATCTGCATGAAGAAACCAAAGGTTTTCTCTTAGAAGCCAATATGGAAGCACACATAAAAAAGCCACAGCAACTTCACTCACTCTTTCGCTGTCAGCTGCTTTAGAACGAGGAGAAAAAACATTTACATTCATCTCGCTTTCACCACTGACTTGGCAATCGGGAAGGTAACCATCCCCGATTCTTTCTAGTCAGCACACTGCAGCCTCTTTCTATATGTTTCCTCTCAGCGCCATCCGTTTCGATAACCTGGGGAGTTATATAACTCCGCAGAGATGTACAAACTGATGCTGTGAAAAGGCCGAAATCACATAGGGACAAACCCGCAGGCTGGCACTGGCTCACCCTCAACCACTGCAAACCCCAGGAGGGCGACTCGGGCTCTGAGGGGCACCCTGGCCATCGCACCCCAAACCCAAC